AAACATGAACCATGGAGATATCCGAAGGGATTTTCCGACAACTATAGTGCTCAGCGCGGAGTTGAAACTCGACTTCTTTAACTCAGGGATCCGTCCAGACCACTGAGTTGACTTTCCAGTTACTAATTAGCTGTTTGTAATGGTACATATAGCCGTTCAAGGTTGAAATTTATAATCATTGTGCTCTTTTTGTTCTAAACTTACGAAAATCTGTATGTTTGTATCATTGTTACAGTGGAGAATTTGACCTCATATGAGGCAAGCTGCCGGTCGTCTAGACAGTACTATTAACTGCGATTCCTTATGGATCATGAGTGCAACGTGTCATATGTGACTCTCAAATTATTATTCTAAATGATTCAGGGAGAGTGCACGAATATTGCATAATGAGCCAGGGAGAGTGCACGAATATTGCATAGACAAGAAATATTATTTCATGTCGCACACCAGGAGAGTTATAGGAGAGTGAGCCTTACACTGCAGCAAATAGTATAAGTAGAGGAGAGTTATAATGTTAGCAGAAAGAAAGAACATCAGTTCCATCAGCTTGAAGTTCAGTTCCGTTCGAGAGTTCCCGCTACAATGAGTGTGTGTTGCGTTTGGCGGAAGGGCCTTCCCATCGCTCGTAAAGGGAGTCAGGCTCATGCCGCTCAAACGGCGAAAACACGTGTGCTCAGTTGAGGATTTTTAATTGTCAGCTAGACACTAGAGATACGTTAAAATCTTCCCTGCTGTGGCCCATTTATCGCGACGCTGGCCCTTTTTGAAACAAAAATATGTTTCGGGCTGCTCCTTAATATTGAGATTACAAACAAAAAATATGGATGCTTTTTCATTTATACTTTGTGTAAACGTACTGCGTGTATTGACCAGTGGGCTAAATCTCCTATACTTCTAAAGACTGACATATAAATAAAACACAGTTTCTTAGTTATACCTGAAGGAATGGGAAAGAAGGAGCACAGTACCCGGTTTACTAAAACGGATGGACGGGAGATTGAAAGCAACGAAATAAGCAATCCTTGCAGATATATTTTTGATTGCATTGATACTAAAATTGTGGTCTAGTCTCAACTGTCTTGTTCTAAGTAGCGACTATCGGATACTATATTGCGGCCTAGTCTCCACTAGATTGTTTTAAGTAGCGACCAAGATTTCAATAAAAGGCACGTAGTTAGATCACCGGAAGGAAAGGGGGGTGCGGCAAAAATTCTCATTAACCCTTAGAGCCCCAACTTGCGAACCCAAGTGTGTCCAATATAAGAACCGGATGCTGTGCCCTATTCCAACCATTGAGGGGCATTCTTAACCTAGGAAACAGAACCTGCCGGCTCTGTGACGCAGAAGACACAGTCTCTCATTTTTTCACATGCGGCGCCCGCACAGCACGGAGGGGAGCTCACTTACAGACAGGGAAGAATGGAGAGCTAGAATACTTCGAAAACCGCTTCAGATACTGGGGTCCTTAGTTGGGGAAGGAGAGCCCGAACTAAAAGGGCTTTCCGGGTTGGAGAGGAATTAACTCTAGCCCCTCACAAAAAAAAAAAGGAACCGCTTTGCAACCAAGACCCAAAAAAAGCAAGTCACTCCGTTCATTTTCTAACGCTGGGCACTGCAAAGCATGTATGGTTGCACACGTAGATTGTGTAGTTTCCGTGGATCTGGGTGTCCGATATTTTAAAGTTTGGAATTGGACTCTTTTGCCATCTGCTTTTGTGTAAATTGTACGGTTCAGATGAGAATGAATGGAGGAGTGACGGCGGGAATGGCGGCCGCAGAGATCGGGATGATGATCGCGAAAGTGGGGTCGGATAGCCAGGTCGGTTGAGAGTGATTTCCTCTGTCCGTAAGAACAGAGGTCGGGTCGGTTTATATAGAGCCGATTGCAAGATAGCCGAACGGACAGATACTAAAATGGGTAGAGTCTAGAGTTCGAGTTACCAGATTAGGGTCCTCTACGACGTATTTCTGTCGTCGAAATCGAGATGGGAGAAGACGAGAATCCGACTGTGAGCTGGACGAAGGTGATTCCGCCCTGTAGTGCACCGGCTGGTGACACTTTCAGCGTAGGCTCTGGAGCCCGTGCCCATGGAGCCCAATCAAACTGAATGTTCTCTCTGATTTGTTCTCCATCGAGACGCTCAAGATGGTACACAATTTCAGAAGGACCTGTGCGCGAGGACTGGGTCTTATGAGGGTAAGGATCGCACTATTTTCACTTCGACGCTTGACGCTTGAGAGGACCTACGCCTCCTCTTAAGATAATCGGTGAAATTTAAATGAACTTTCCGGTACGTATAAATAAAGACACGGATATAACAGTTATCACTACGGGGTGATCGAATCCTTATACCCATAAATCTCCAACCTGGGAATCGTTTTTGCAGCCATTAACTCATTCTGAAAATTGTTCATTGATCTCATGAACGGTATCGTTTTTTTTATGCGGCGGGCAGTTTCATGTTGAGAAATCATGCGTTCCGATGTGTGGGTGCTCTTTCCCTTTAGAAAAGACTGGTACTTCAGTTAAAAATACCAGTCTTTTTCTGAGGGGGAAGAGTCCATCAAAGAAACTCACAATTGGTTATCCCGACTTGACGTCTTGAGAAGGGTCCTTGGACTTTTCAAAAAGAACTGTATCGCTAGCTTTATCACTGGGAGGAGGCGCAGTTGTCTCTAGAATCTGACCAGCCTCGGCCGTGTACCTCTCAGCCGTGGGTCAGGATCTCTCATCGGGCAAAATTCTGGAAAAAGATGTTGAAAATGGTCTCATACAGCATGAGGGTATGTATCACGAGAACAGAGGATGCAAGGAAGTGGAGGATGCAAGTAGGTGCACCTCTGCAGGGCGGCGGTGCAATTACACGCATCCGTTGTTGAACTGCGGAGTCTACACAGACTGATTGCACTTTCGATGTCCGTTTCGTGGAGAGGTTGGAGTACTGCGTCGGCCAATGGTTACGTGCGCAGGCAGAAAGGCCCACCGAGAGACGTTGCTGTTCGTTTTTGGGGGCGACAGTACATGAATGGTGCAGTTCTTTTCGAGAACCATATATCTCAAGTTGGAGTCGTACTCTAGGGCTATAGCCAAGTATCATAGCCTCTGGAAGTTATAGACTAACCCTTAGAACGAAAGTCCGCACCCGGCCCTCTCTCCTTCCACTGAGGCGCTTCTATTCCATATGAATTGGCTCGTAGCGTGCCACCGTCCTGGTCACGGGCTCTAAGCATGAAGTTTTAATGAAGAACTACTTGTAGACTGCCTTTTTCTTCAATCATGCATCGGCGTATCCATGCATATTCTTCTTGTGGATTGCAATCTGCGAGATTCATTTTTGATACCTCTTTCACCTTCACCACAGTGAAATGGCTTTTCTCCAACTCTTCACCGGCCTTCGGACAAACCGCTGCGACTGCAATGGACAGTAGATTCCTATGCATCGGTCTATGTCTCGCGGTTAACGGTATACTCTTACATCGCCAATGTTGAGTTGTCACAGCCAATTCAAGACTTGGATAATTTACTTTGGACAAACCCAGCACTTTGATATGGACTGCTCAACATCATGTGATATTATTGAAATAAGTATCCAGTGGGAATTATGCCTTGCTGGCGTTGGTTAGTGGAAGTTTCCGAGGACTGGAACATGCGATGTGCACTTCACAACCTCGAACACGTACACTATTTTGTACATAGGGAATGATGGTGGCAATTCAAATTTCTTCTGCAGTTACGGAGATTCTCTGAATGTGACTGCAATGTGCAGAAACACTGCCTCCCCCCCTGAGGCATATCAAGACGCACTTTCATGCGATACTGCGTTGCACATCTTTTCGAGATCAACGATGCAGTAAGATGCATCAACTCCACATTTTGAGCCAACGAGTAATGCTTGACCGAATATCCGTTCAGCTTTTCGAAACGTCCACAAGACTACATTTAACGATTCTATGAATGCTTTACGAATTATACATATTAAGAAACGTACATTTTATCCTCGTTATCGTCTAAACGACTTTTATTCTCTGAGAAGAGCCGATCTCCCAATTCCCATTCAAATGCTCTTGTTCGGCCTTGGAGGCTTGCCAGTGTTTGAAATGAGCGACCGCAGTTTGAGACTAGGAAGTAATGATTTAGATTCGGGAGAAGGGCTACCTCCGTTATTTATTTAATGAGTGCCGAATTTACAGAATCAAACAGAAAGGTCAAAGCATAGAACTTTCGGTCCCGGTCCGAACAAATTCTCATACAGGAAGGGTTGCTACCTCTTTATTTTGCCACGCATTCTTCATGAACTCGCGTAGAAACAAGTAGAATTACACCGCACGACAAAGGTCGATTCACGAAATGAGATGGATATTGAGCGAAAGCCAAAAGGGATATGCCATAAAATCGACAGGCACCTGCACATCTCTGGAGCATTTCCATCGCATCATTGACTACAAAAAACAGAGCGGTGTAGTTTATAACCATTGATATATGGGTTCCAATCATGATATTTATTTGTTAAATAATCAAAAATTCAGAAATGAGCTGGAAGAAACTCGAGCTTGGTAAAAGGTTTGTCTGCTTCTTCCCTTCCAAAATAATCTCCGCCTGCTCGATCATCCTTTTTACCCTCAGAGTTGGAAGATCTTGATATTCGGATATCCGCCCTTTTTGGACCTTTCAAAGCAACTAAGAGGTATACTTACAATAATTCAAATGCGTCTTTCATTCATTGCATGTATAGCACTGCCTGTGCATGCCTTCTTCTAGGTTCACATTGTCCAGTTCATAACCCGCCTTGGAACAAGGAACATCATTTTGCCCTACGATTAGGTCATTATTACAATCACGATTTCGTAGATGCACGCCTGACCTTACGCCGATGAACCAGTCGAGTCTCTGTAGGCACGGCACATCTTACAATAATTGAAAAGTAAACTCCTGCCTGAATGTGTCCTTTTTACATATCTACTCACGTGATAAAACTATACATCTTCGTTTGGCTACGATACTATGGGGAGGCATGTTCTGCTGAACTGTCGAACGACGCCAGAGAGAACACATATTCAGAAATGAGCATATTGTGACGCCCAATGTGAAGTAGATCACATTGCGGAAGTGATATTGCAGCTTTGTGACTGCTCATGACCATGGTCATGGCAACCTCCATTGAATTACTAATAACTTCTACAGAAAATTTGTCCGGAAATTCTTCACCCATTTGCATTGTTTTTCCAATAGTTTGTAAGTTACCCACAAGTTTTTTCGTCAGAATTTGGCAGAAGGATGGCGATAGTGTGGAAAAAGCTCTTTCCATAGAACCGACGACTTCAAATGAAACAGTCCAGCTCCAAATCACATCTACTTCCGCTTTCACGGATAACATGCGTTCGTAGATTGCATCTATCTGAGCGAGAACGAAAGTGAACAACACTTCGAACGTGGACGTGTCGCACTTTTCACTGGCAAATGAGTTGTGATAAATGCTCTCAAGAATCTTGAGAATGACATTTCGAAAAACGTGAACTACCGCCCTCCTTGCACTCTTGCTTCTCTTTGAAGAAAGATAACCTTGGATGAAGTCGAACGCTCGCCTGCAACAATTCAAAAACTGTTGAATATCACCAACCGCCATTAGACTGTGGAGAGTTGTCCGCGAAAGCCGCGCAGGAATTCTGGAACACATGACCAAGGCAAGATTGCAAAGCACCGTCGCATTGTCACTCTTTGTACCGTCCAAAGTTAGTACTCGAGATCTATCCACAAGATTTTTAACATCATCCGAAAAGAGGCAAGGACCTGAGTTCTGTTCCATCACAAGCTGAGTCCGTAAGTTTATGACTTCTCTTTCAACCTTCTCGAGTTGTATCCTCAAACAACTTGTAGAAATAGATCGGTCATTCCTGCTTAACAACTGAACGGGAATAGAGGCAATTGCTTCCTCCCCACAAGCAAAAGTTGATATCCTGGCGGAGTTAGTATAATCTTCAAAGGAAACGCTAGGCGAACGCCGCGTCTCCCTGGCCAACTTTTGAAGAAGTTCGATCGACTTGATTTCTGAGGTGCCCTTCTCAATCTCCTCGAACGACGGAACAGAAACTGCTGAATGAGGGAAAGAATATGCTTCCTCCATGATGTAAGCCTCCCGAGAGTCATACATTTCAAAAGTTGGAGCAGGAACTTGTTCGAAGATCGCTGATATTCCAGGCAATAGCTGCTCTTTGAAAAGAGACGGACGTGGCCCGATCTTTGCGCGAGATTTCTTTCTTGCTCGCGTAGTGGATTTGGGGGGCTTCTGTCTTTTACAAGCATGCTGTCCTTTGTTCTGCGTTTTTGGCTTTCTTCCCTGCGGGGCCCCCTTTCTCGCATCCTTTTTTGCTAGGTGCGATGGCGTCGTGTGAGCTGCCTTCTGGACCCTTCTTGATTGTGATGGACACGCATTCCCGCTTTCAAAGCGTGCTGTAGGACTGGGAACTTCCTCGAGGAGGACGGCCTGTTTCGGTTGGCCTTCCGCCAGGACCTTTGGCACTTCAGGTACGGATGGCTCGCCACGAGGTGACGATGAACTCCCAAGACACGGGTATGTGGTTAGGGATTCGCTATCATGACTAACTGCAGGCGTCATCTTACGATGTACATGCTTTCCTGGTGCCTTTTGTGCGCAAGTGGCGATCGGCTCAAATCGATTCTTCACTGACGAAGCCTTGATCTCATTCCTAGCTTTCGTCTGAGAGCCATATTCTTGAAATTTCGTGTCACCAGCTCGTCGAGAATGCTCCGTTCCCCAGTTACCGCCCCCCGGGAAGTTCGTCTTTGCTCGGCATGGTTCCTCTTGTGAGATAGTCCACGGTGGGCGTGGGCCAGCTGTAGATGCGGATACAAGTGAGACGCCCGCGAGGTTGTCCTCGTCTAAGCTGGGCGGGGGTACTGTGCTCGCATCGCTGTCAGACATGACCACATGCAAATGTCAAAAGGAATGCCGTGCGATGAAACGAGGTGAAGGGGGGTCTGCGGCGACAACACGGACGGCTGATCTGAACCGCTCTTAACTAGGACACTAGCGAAGTTGGGGTACGATGTGAAGGAGAATTAGCGAAGCGAAGATTAGTTTGAGAAGCGCCGAATCGAAACGATGCGTGACAGGCGCTGTAGAGTCAGGAAGAAATTTAATTCCAAATCGAAGTCGAAACTGTACATAGCTGCGAGAGGCCGGAGCGAAATATCCTAGATCAAGGGATGGCCAAGTAGTGAAGGAGAAAAAAAACGAAAGGCATGGTTGTCCAGTGCAGCTGTGGGAGACAGGGGCTTGTCACGCATGTGGTTAACATGTCGCCATTGGAGATACTTGAGCGATGGCGGCGTCCAGTGAAGAGTTAGACAGCGAGTCTGACGGCTGCTGTTGTATCGACGACGGGGATAGAGGCTCCGCCCGAAGTTTGGAGGGAGACGGGTTCACGTGGGTGTGATAGTGCGGTTGAGTGGAACGGAGCGGAGACTTGTACATGGAGACATCGAATGGACCCTGATATGTGGTCATGGCAAGGATATGGTCGAGGAGGACCTCGAGCTCCTTGCAGAGTTGATCGATGGAAGGGCGTTCCAAGAACTTGACGACTTTGAGCACGATGGGTTTGCCCGCCTCAATGAGTGCGGAGGCTGCGACGTGTGCGGCATAGCGATCGCCAACAGAGTCGCCAAGCACGACGACATGTAACGGTTGGAACGGTTGGGACGAGGCGTGGTAGAAGGCATCAAGCTCATCGGCAAAAGTGCGGGCCTTCCACTGCAAGGGATCTTCCCGGTACACATCCACGTAGCGCGCGCGCGCTGATATGACGTTGATGGAGCGGTAGTTTGCTTCGAGGAAAGCGCGGACGGCGGGGAGGAAGCGACTTGAGCTGAGTTCAACCCATCCGTCACCGGCGTTAGTGACGATCAGGACGGTGCCGAGGCTGACAGCCGTCTTGAGTAAGGAAAGAACTCGGTGTTCAAGAACTCTGAGAAGACGAGCCTCCTCTGGTGCAAACTCGTCAATGCGGGAATCGAGGTCAGCCATGAAGCCGGATCGCTCGAGGAAGGATGTCGCGCAACACGTGTCATCCCAATCTAGGATAAAGACGCAAGGGGGTGAAGGGGTTTTTGAATGAGAAGTGCGCTGACGTGCTTCGACGGCGGAAGGGAGCTCGCGGAGAACGGATGCGTAAAGTGCACGATGCTTAACACGGGCGGCGGAGGGGGGAAGATATGGTAAGGCCATGAGATGGCGATAAAGCGGGACGTATGGTCGGGCGGCAGGTGAGGGGGGCT